GTCAAGCGTGACACAGACGGATGTAACGGAGAATCCGGTAATTTTTCAAAATAAAACATCTTTCGTATTCCGAAATAAATAAAACGGAATTAAGGCAAGTTCTTTCTGTGCGGCCTGGTACCAAATGCCCTGCGGACCGGTACCGGTACGCAGACCGACGGTTGGGGACCCCTGACATACAGCACAGATGAAATTACTTTACTCTCTCAACCACAGTGCAAACATGCAGTGCAGTGAACACACACAGCTAAAATTTATGTTAAAATTCCATAAGACATAAATATATAAATACTGTATGTTAAATAAAAATAAATATACAAATAGCAACAACAGACACCCAAGGGCACTTGTGATTATTGTATATTTTTAGTTACTTGTTTTAAGTGCAATAACGTAATCGGATGTCAGATGCTGGGGGAGGGACACCGATTGTGGCAGGAGGCAGGTGTAGACTGGGGGTGGGGGGGGGTGCGGGCAGAACATGGAGGGAGTTTAGTCTCTTGACCGCCTGGTGTAATAAACTCTTCTTGAGCCTGGTAGTTTTAGCAGAGAGACATCGCAGCCTCCTCCCTGACGGCAGCACGTCGAAGAGGCTGTAAGACGTGTGTGTGGAGTCACCTGCGATCTGGGTGGCTTGGCGGGTCAGACGAGAGTTCTAAGTGTCCGCGAGTGGAGGAAGAGAGACACCAATGATCTTCTCAGCCGCTCTCACAATGCGCTGCAGACTCTTTCTGCAGGACATGGACAGGAAACCGGAGTACCCAGAGAAAACCCACGCAGGAGAACATGCAAACTCCACTCACTGCACTGCACTGTGAGGTCGACGCACTAACCACTGGACCACTGGACCACTGGGCCGCCCTTGACCCTGACTTGAAACCCTAATTGACAACCTAAAAAAAAAAAAAACCTAAAATCTCCAACATTAACTATGCCTTAAAACCTAAACTCTTTGTTGAAATTCTATTTTGAAACCCTAATCCAGGTTTGTAAGCCTATGTTAAACTCCTGACTGGCTTGAGCCCCTAAATCTGTCTTGAAACTCAAATTTGAAACTGTGAACTTTGCTTCAAACCATAAGCTTATGTTAAAACATATTTTGAAAGTCTAGGCCTAACCCCTCTTTGAAAGCTTAACCCAGCCTTGATATCGTAACTCTGTTTTAAATCACTACACACAAAATAATGCTAGGTTGTTTTTCCTAACCCACTCACTGGGTTGCTGTTACTTTTACTCAAGGTTGGGTTAATTACTTTTGACACAACAGATTGGGTTGAATATTGGATTTGGGCATGCTGGGTCCAATCGGGGTATAAATAACCCACCATTGGCTTTGTCCGTTTTGGACCCAGCGCTGGGTTATTCATTTCACCCAATTTGGGTTACTTTTGACCCAGCAATTTTAAGACTCCAATCTAAAACCAGAACCCTGCCTTGAAACTACGTCTTTGAAACACGACTGTGGATTAAAACCTTAATAAAAGGTGACATGTAAGGCTGCTCACTGAGAAATCTTCACTTCCCATTACACTCACCTGCACGCGCACACATAATGTCAGTGTCAACTTTGCATAACATTTCCTTCAATTAGCATTCGGCACATTAACACTTCACTTGATGTATTAGCGCCGTGCGACATGTACTTGCCGCTGGTTTATAAGCCCAGATGCCACCGCGTCATCTTCTACATGCGTGCACAGACTGCTAAAGGAGCTCCTTCTCCTCCTTTTCCTCCTCCTGCATATTTGGCCTCCATCAGTTACATTCATTTGCATTTGACTATGTAAGGAAGCCCATACAACAATAGCCCATCTGTTCAAATGGGAGGAGAAAAACAATCAGTCCCTTGTTTTTAACATAAGTAAAGTCCGAAGGCAAGCAGTGGTTGTTTGGACTTTATCCTCATAATGTTGCAATTTTTTTCTGGAAAATAGACTACTTTTTATCCAAAATATACAACTAAAAAAATACATACTATTGAAAAAACGTGACATAATCTATCACCTAGAGCAATGTATACTGCCCTTTGGAAGGGAACCAATAGGAAGGACGTGGCATTGTGGTGGGGCTGACTTACTAAAACAAATAAAATGTATGTTTGGCTCTTGCACTGCGGCGCGGTACCAAATGGTCCGGTCCACTGACCGGTAGATGAGGACCACTGATCAAGGCTGTCTTCAAAGAAAATACATGTTTTGTGGGATAGTGGGCCAAGACCAAACATCTGTCGAATCTAGCAAGATGTCATGAAAGATGATCAATAAAATTTTACAGTAGTAGCATGCAGATGCATCACCCAAGCCAAAGCACTACTTACTTTCTGAGTCTGCCGTCAATCTCTGGACCTCACTGTTTGGGATGCTGGCCCAGAGTTGAACTGATGGATCAAGAAAAATAATGGATAATAATGGATGTCAAAATCAGAACCAAAACTTGATTTCTATCAGTAGTCATCTAAAAGATTTGCCTTTCCTTTATTCATCCCTGTGTTTAACCTAAAAAGGACAAGAAATAAGGAAATACCATTAAAACTGCTGGTCCAAAAGTTACCCAAACACAGTGAAATATAGCTAGCCCAATGCTGGGTCCAAAAGGCGACAATTTTGTCCTATTAGAACTCACCACAGCAATTATTTGCATGACATGTTCAGAACAATTTTTACACCCGATGCTCTCCGGACACATGGGAAATCCACCATGACCAGGATTTGACCCACCATCCCAGTGTCCAAAATATGCCCTGTTACCTATTCAGCCATCCAGCCACCGCCAACGTTCTCCAAGAATGTTTTGTTGAATTTCAACAGGGCGACTAGCTTCAGCTCTTCAACTCCCTTGAAATCAAACTTCAACCCAATCTACTGGGTCAAAATAACGAACCCAGCATTCGATCTATGTGAGCCATATTTGGTTGTTTCTATGTATTTATTTATTATTTTTACTTGTTTCAAGACATGGTTCTTGTTTCAGATTACATTGGGTGGAAAAATGACCCAAATTCGGTGAAAGAGCTAACCTAGCGCTAGGTCTAAAAGAGGTTGTACCAATGCTGGGCTATTGATTCCCAGTGCACTGGGTTGATTTGAAAACAACGTGACCAACTCAAAATTTTCAACCCAATCTGCTGGGTCAAAATAATTGACCCATTTTAGGTAAAAGCAACCCAATCTGCTGAAAATCCAGGCTATCTAGTGAATGTGTCAGGAAAAGAACCCAGCATTTTATGGAGTGCGCGTCTACTCTCGTTCACAGTGGCTCTTTTCGTGGCCACAATTTAATATTTTGTGTGGAGTTCCCATCCATTTTTGTGGCTGGAATTTAACGTATTTCAGTATGTCTGTTTGGGGCTCTGTGATTTTCAGAGAATAATCCAACTGCTTCATTTCTCTCTCGCAGCATTCCTGCTCAAGGACAGTTGGCCTGATCCGCTTGTGTCGCCCACTTCTGATTGGCTCCTTGTTCCCCTCACCCTTCCCGCGTGACTCGGCGCAAATCACGCCGGTGGGGGTGTGCACGCGAGTGGAGGTGAGATCGGCGTCTCCCTGTTCACTGGCTCACACGCGAGCGGCGCGCGACCGAGGAGAGATCGTCGAACAGTGTTGCTTCTCGCTGGGAGCTGTCCATACACGACCACGCTGCACGGACCGGCGTTGCCCCGCACCGTTACTGGGAGTTAACGTTTGGATTGCTGGAAGCGCTCACTTGCACTTCTTTTTTTTTATTTTTGACGTGGGTGGATTATTTCTTTTTCTGGATTCTCCACGCGTGGACACACACAGGTAAATACATACTGTTTTTCCATTCTTCTTTTCTTCGTATTGTTGTTGTTGTTTTTACTTGTTTTAGAGTTTTAGAAGTGAGTTTTATTTGTGTTTTTAATCCAAATAATCGGATGATATATGTGGAACCTCTTCCTTCATTTATCAGCCAAATACTTTGTGCGTGTCCGTGTGTGCGAGGGTGGGATGGGTGGGGGCTGTAATCCTTGAGTGACACCGTTTTGCCGCACATGAATTAAGACTTTTGTTTTCCTCCTGTTTTGCTGGGAGATACGTCTGCCGTGTCAGTGTGTGTGTGTATGTGTGTGTGTGTGTGTGCGTGTCTGTGTGTGTGTGTGTGAGTGTGTGAGTGTGTGTGTGTGTGCGCGCGCGCGTGTGTGTGTGTGTGTGTGTGTGTGCGTGCGTGCATACGTGCGTGAGTGCGCGCGCGTGTAAATGCAAGTACGTGTTTTAGAGGCTCACTTGATTGTCTTGATGATGTATCGTGCCACGTTTTGAGACTGTTTTAATCTTTGTAGCAGATGGTAGTTGAAGTGTGTGTGTGTGTGTGTGTGTGTGTGTGTGTGTGTGTGTGTGTGTGTGTGTGTGTGTGTGTGCGCGCGCGCGCCGTGTGTCTGCCTGCGTGTAGTTTAAAGCAGATTAACTTCTCATGGACAGTAACATACACCCTAGAGGAGTTCTATCAGGTTTGGAATGAATGATATACCGTGGTGCCTTGAGATATGAGATGAATTTGTTATGCGCATTCAGGTATTCAAATAATTTTTCTCCATTGAAATGAATGAAAATACCATTAATTCGTTCCAGTCTCAGCATTAAGACAACAAACATTTTGTAATTTTTGTAGCACGCTATGGTATTGTATTCCACAAAAAACATTCGGCAATAACATATGTGAAAACTTTAAAAGAATATAAGATGAATGTATGCATAATGATTAAATCATTGTGGTTCCTGCTGGTGTGCATGTTTTAGCCACCAGATGGCAGTGTAATACAGTCAAGCAGGCAAACAAAAAACGTTTCATTCAGCTACTGTAAGTGAATATGTAATCTGCATCAGATTATTCATTTTTGCATACGGCAAAAAATTATGCCTGTGAATAGTATCTAGCGATCCTACATGTGTTGCCACACCGATTATTTTAAAATATCTGTTATGCATTGTTTGTTAGCATTCAGCAAAACAGACTGTTCTAAAGAAATGCAATGTAATTGGTTCATAACTCACAATGTGTAATTCTCCTTGGTTTAGTTTTATTTTGACAGTAAACTTCAACTGGGGCTGACATTAAAGCTGTTGTAGCCTTTTTTGGTCAAGATTTTGTTTGTTTGTTTGTTATTTTCAGATGGAATTGGGGCCTTCAATTATTGGGACCTACAAATTATGATCACTTCCAAATAGCAGTCAGTGTAAACAAAAGCTTCAGGTTTCGGCTAGGAAGCATTAAAAAAAAAGCCGACTAGAACATCTAAAATGTATTTGGGATTAATCAGAGGCACTTAAAAAGGTGACAGATGTGTGCTGCCTGCCATATACTGCGTGTGTGTGTGTGCGTGTGTGTGTGTGTGTGTGTGTGGGTGTGTCTGTATATATATATACAGGCGCTCCCCGATTTACGAACATTCGTGTTACGAACAACGGTACATATGAACATTTTTGCGGGTACAGGTATGTCGAAAAATGTTCTCGGACAGAGATGCTGTAAGTTAGATTTTGTAGTGAGCGCCTTTTTCCGAGTACTATAGTACTTCTTTCCGCCGCTAATATCAACGTGAGGCGCTGTGAGAGGAGGAGGAGGAGGAGGAGGAAACGCCTGTCCCCATGAAGAAGTTTGAGACGGAACTCTTGGCCGAGGGGTTTTCTCATAGATAAAGCCATTGCACTCTTCAGGCAGCAAGACCCAAATATTGAACGTTGCACAAAGGTTGCAAATCAAATGAATGATGCCATACGGTGCTACTGCATCATTTATGATGAGAAAAAGAAGAAAACTGTGAAATCGTCGTGAGATCGCTTCTTTCGGCCAGTTTCTACTACACCCTCCAAGGAAGATACTCGTCAACCCTCATCTTCTTCTCCTCGACCCTCAACTTCTTCCTTCATTGATGTTACGGAGGAGGAAGTAACTCTTGAAGCCCATTCCAGCGGCGACGAAGACCATCTCGGCCCCATGACATAAAATCCTCCTCTTCCTTCTCCTCCCCCTCCATCATCTCCTTAAGCCTTCGAGTACATCTTCCAAAAGTAAGTTAAACTTCATTTTATTATACTTATATAAACCTTAAACATACTTATATAAGCCTTAAACATACATTCCATACAAAATATAGCACTGAAGCAACTTACGAACGAATTCAGCTAACGAACGATCCTTCGGAATGTATCTTGTTCGTTAGCTGGGGAGCGTCTGTATCTATATATATAAAACCTGACATATGTTTTTTATATTCACTGAAACCATGTGCAACACAGTGGTTCTCAAATACAACACCATACAGCTGTGTTCATAAAATAATACTATTGCAAATCATTGTAACATTATGCAGAGTTTGACCATTAACACTGTGCCTACATCCAGGAAAACTGCACTGTAAAAAACGAACTATAACAAATTCTGATTCTTTCAAGCACCGCAAGAGTGAACCGGAGTATCACTCGTGGCACGACCACAGCACTTTGAGAAACGCTGTTAGCGAGAACACTCATTTAGTGCCTGCCCTTTGGCACTTTAGTAAATCATGCCCCTTGTTTCATTTCCACAAACATCTGGCATTTGATGGTGCACGTTTGAGCAGCAGTGAGTAGCAATTAATGACGCCCCAACCACATCTTTTAAGCCCTCTTCCATCTGCCGAAAAACATACGAAAACGAGCCGAGTAATGGAGCAGGAGTTTACCCATCCTTGACTTGGAAAACCCGCCCTGTTCGGCCGTCTCTATTAAACAAGTTGTTGGCAATAACAATCCACCAGTCCATTCAGAGTTCCCTCTCGGCGTGGAGTGAGCAAGGTCACGCTTCAGAAATTCGTTTGAAGACAAAAAGCCTCAGACTAGGATTGATCCTTGAAACGAGCGAAGAGAAAATACGGCCTCAAAACATAACGGCGCAAGACGGATGCTTGTTAAGAGCGTTTGCCCCCAGAAGCAAATGTATGAGACTTAAATTACATTTAAAGAAACATGACACACTATGATCTTATAACAGTTCAGTATCAATCCAAACTTATCTTCCATCATTATTCTTAAAAAATAAACGCCTTACACATTTTGATTTCATTTGATTTAGAAAAAAAAAATGCATCTTAAGTACATGCGAATATGCATCTGACCGTAACAATCTCCATAACAATTCTGGCAAAATCTCATTCCTCCGAGCTAACGTAAAAAGCCTTTCTCTCAATCAAGATGGAGCAATTACTGTGCTAATTTCCTATTCAGACAGGGCTTTTCGTGGCATCCTTTGGCTTCTTAGGGTCTTTCAGAAAGAGCACAAAAGCAGGGTTTCTTAACAAGTAGCTGGCAATAGGTTCCACAAAGAAAAGAAAAAAAATTGTCCTTTTGTGAATGCTGACCCACGAATATGATGGAGATTGTTCCATATACAAAAAAAGTAGAACTATATTAATTCTTGCACTGTCAACTTTTTTTGAAAGGAAAGTTCCTCATCTTGTCAGTTACAGTATTTGAGAACATTTCGACTGATTTCTCAAGACTGACAGAATTTTTTTTTCTGTGACAATGCATGCAACGAACCTACCCGAAAGAAAGTTTATTTCTCTTTTTTTTCTTTCGTAATCAGCAGTTGAACATGGGCCGGCTTCACTCAAAACACCAAGACCGTGCAGAAAATGAGCTTTTTTATCAAAACAATGACGCTGATACTATTTCCTGTTTTGACACCTCAAGCTATAAGACAACTAAATCAGGACTGAGAAAGAGATTTTGATGGCAATAATAATCATGCCGACGGGTTTTCTACATGTTGTTCATCATTTACCCCCATGAATGATCGTGGCACACACTTTCTACTACCCTTGTGACACATACTCACCATGGGCCAATATTTCATTCTGACAATATGACAAGTATGAGGTGAGTATGAGGTGCCTAAACATGTCCAATTTGCAACATGCTGGCATTTCATCTTTCTCTCCAACTTAAAAGCTGGGCTGATCTCACTGCCATCCGCAGGGCTCTCTTGGTCATTGCAGTGGCTTACAAAACTGAATTTCACAGACAAGAGAGGCGAGACCCGCTTTCAAGGCGATTCGTTGGAAAATATACTTGAGCAGTCTGCAAGATGGTTGTTAGTGTAAATAGTTGTATTCCACTTTACAGTGATGGAGTTTATGGCAAGCAGAAAGAAGCTTTTGTTATATCTGCTGGTTTGGTACCGTATTTTCCATACTAAAAGGCGCACCTAAAAGCCTTCCATTTTCTTAAAAGCTCACAGCGTGCCTTAAAATCCGATGCGACTTGTGTATGGTCACTACGGTAATATTTCGACCCCAAAATGGCTCCTTGCTCGAGACATGCTGACAACGCAGAGTTCAAACTTAAGGAGATCGGTTACGCAGTTGAACACGGAAATAGAGCAGCGGCAAGAGAGTTCACCGTTAACGAGTCAATGTTATAACTTGCTGGTGGTTAAGTCAACTGTGTCGCTGCTTTATTAAATGCGTTTTACTGACATCTGATCGTTCTTTCTGTTGACGTTTCCCTGAGTGTAGCTCCATCTAGTGGATGCATTGTAGATTGCGTCTTATAAAGCGGTCCGCCCAATGTATGAAAAAAATTACAAAACAGGCCATTCATTGAAGGTGCGCCTCATAATCCAGTGCACCTTTTAGTGTGGAAAATACGGTATGCATTGTTGACCGCATCGACCAATGGGGTGAAGCTGGAAGAGGTGGCATCCAGGTCCGTGTAACAACAACCCAAAAATATGACAAGGATAAAAAAAAAAAAAGCGACAAAAACTGTGAGACAGTGGACTC